AGCTGGCAAATTATTTATTCACGGTAATGATAAATTCGCTGTAGAGAAATGACTGCAAAAACTGCAAATATAAAAGTACTGCAAATGTAATTTACAGTACTCATAAGCACATTGGCAGAACGTACTGCGCCTGCGTAAAAACCCTTAATGTATTATGCATAGCATTTCGGCAGAACATCTCGTTTAAGGTTGTATTCATGTATTTGAGGATGACATTTTATCTATAGTTTTGAATTGATGTGTCAGAAAAGGTGGTGTCTGCAACGGGCAAAATCCTGATGCAATGTTGACCAAACATCTAACAAAAATGTGGAAAACTTGCGCTATTGCAGTACGTTCTACCGATGTGCTATATGATATAGCTGGTATAACCGCCCTTCAGCGTAACACATCAGCTTCTGTATCTCCATAGCCGGTATAACACACACCACTTTCATATATTGCTGTACTCTATGATAGTTCAAGGAAAGAAAACAATTTTTTTTTAGACTCCAATCCTTGATTGATAACTCTGGTACTTGAAAGCATGACTATTTCTTGTTATTTATTCACATATACATGTGTAAAGATAGACAACCAGTCACGGTGAACGCTCAAACTCAACTGGTTTATTCAATCTCAACCGGCCGGTTCTAGAGCCCCTTCCCTCGAACGGTACCGGTATAGATCACCTGTTCGAACACGACGCTGGCACGTGCGCTGGCACGTGTTCGAACAGGTGACCGCGACTCCGCCCAAGGGAGGGGATAGAACCGGCGATAATACAATGCTTAATAAAACTAACAATACACATTGTTACATTCCTCCCCCCTCACTTAAGCAGGTGCCCTCACCTGCAAGCTACTCATGCTAAATACGTTACATAATCCAATCTGTTTACAAATCCATTGTTCTATTTCGCAATAGATTGTTCTGAAATATGTAGGCCCATCAATTCTCATAGACGCATTTACAACTATTGTTAACAAATGTATCTTTATCGGTATGCTTTATATAGGCGGGTCATGACTGAAATAAAGGAATCTAATTGTTTTTACAAGTCCAATACAATTATTCAAAGTTCATGTCCATAAAGCGGGTGGGCGGTCTGCTTATGCGTCCCGAACGAGTCCGTTGTGATGGCGGTGTTGGGGCATCGCGTGGGGTAGGATCAGGTACGGCAACATCTGGGATGGGTGCATCACTATGTATGTCATTTGTCACAAGAAAGTCCCGAAAACCCATGTTAGGGAGTTCTGTAGGGTGTACTTTCGGATGTCCCGCTGTAGCTGATTTGGGGTTGATGTATGGTTTGAGTCGGTTGTGGTGGACGACTTGTGATACACAGTTGTTCTCTTGTTGGATTCGGTAGAGGATAGGCGCCATTGCGTCATCTGGGAGTGCCTCGATAATTACATATGGTCCGGTCCATGGCATTTGTAGTTTATGGGCGGCAGATGGGGGGTGGTGGAGCCACACACGGTCTCCTTTGTGGTACTGGTGTTGATGGATCCGTTGGGTGTTCAGGCGGTCTTGTTGCCGGTGGGCGTGTTCTAGTGACTCTCGAACGGATTTAAAGGCAGCGTGGAGCGCGTGGAGCTCGGGTGTTTGTGCCGCAAGGTGGTTAGTCGTGTCCACGGGAAGGCGCGCCTCACGCCCGTGAACCAGGAAGAATGGTGTAAAGCCCGTTGATTGGTGAACACTAGTGTTGTATGCCAATGCGACATGAGGAAGTAGGCGATCCCAGTTTTGTTCATGACCAGTGAGACACTTCGCTAGAATGTCTTTCATAGTTCTGTTAAACCGTTCCACCTGGCCATCTCCTTGTGGATGGTACGCGGTAGTGCGGGTCTTGTTTATGTGCAGTCTGGAACATAAGTTGGAGATCAACTTCGATTCAAATTGCCGTCCTTGGTCTGAGTGGATTTGGTCCGGGACCCCGTGCTGTCCGATGTAATCAGTGAACAGTTTCTCGGCTACTGTGTTACTGTCCTGATTACGGATCGCGTAGAGGTTGACATACTTGGAGAACACGTCCGCTACAACAAGGACGTACTTGTTTCCTGTCGATGAAAGGGGCATGCACGTAATGTCTGTAGCGACCACCTCAAATGGACGGTTGGCAGTGATATGTTGGAATGGTGCCCGTGGCTTGGGAATAGGCGGTCGCCGTGCTTGACATGGGATACACTCGCGGCAGTAGTGGGCGACGTCAGTAGTCATGCCTGGCCAACAGAACCGCCTACGAACTCGGTGTAATGTTCGTGCAGGGCCGAAGTGTCCAGCAGTAGGGTCATCATGAAGATGTTGTAGCACTCTGGGGGCAAGATGACGAGGCTGGACTATTTGAGGTGACATTGTGGTGGATGAGTTTGGCGGTTGTCGATGGATAACTCCGTTAATCAGAAGCAAGTTGTCAAAGTCCTCCCATAAAGAGACAAGTTCACGGTTCTTTCCTTTTACAGCTGTAATAGGAGGTTTAGTTGAAGGATCATCCAGCCATTTACTAATTACACTGAGATTTTTGTCGTTCTGCTGTTCCTTAAAGAAGTCCATATCAGGTGCGTCGGCGAGTTGAGATGCACAGGCATGAACGTCAGACCCGACTGACAGCGATCGTGATGAAACAGCAGCGTCGAGCTTAACCTCGGTTGTCGTGGGCGGAGACGTTACAGTGGAAGTGGTAACCTCGATGTTTGCATCATCATGGACGACTGTCGGTGATGATGTCTTCGAACAAGCCGATGAGTTCCAAAGGGCTCCATCCTGGGAAGTCACGTCAGCAGGTGTCGGGGAAGGAGGCCGGCGGGACAACGCGTCAGCATCATTGTTGGCTGTTCCTGGGCAATACTGAATAGAGAAGTCATAAGTGGTAAGTTCAATCGCCCATCTTGACCGGCGACCTTGAGCGACACCGTCGCCAAGTGGAATGTCTCTGCAAGACAGCAGTGGGCGATGGTCGGTGAGAAGAGTGAATTTGCGTCCATATAGATAAGGGCGGAAGTGACGTATCGCCCACACCACAGCCCAGAACTCACGGTCATACGTGGACCAGCGACGTTGGGAGTTTGATAGAGTCTTGCTGGCATATGCGACGACGTGACGATCACCATCATGGCCTTGGCTTAGGACGGCCCCGATGCCAGTAGCTGAGGCGTCTGTAGCCAGGACAAACTCACGTCGAAAGTCCGGAAACGCCAAGACTGGTGGACTTGTCAGGGACCGCTTTAATGTTTCAAATGCGGATTGACAGCTCTCAGTCCAGTGGAATTGATGTTTTTTATCGGTTAGCCTTGTCATTGGTTCAGCCACTGTAGCAAACGATGGCACGAACTTCCTATAGAACGAGGCAAGACCGAGAAAAGATGACACATCTTTTTGGCATGTTGGTGTTGGCCACTCAGCGACACGGGCAGTGTTGGCCGGATCAGGACGAAGTCCGTCGCGGGAAACAACATGGCCTAGAAACGTAACCTCCTGTTGAGCAAACGAACACTTCTTCGGGTTCAGCTTCAAGCCTGCTCGGCGGAAACATGCTAACACTTCGTTCAGCACTCGCAAGTGATCCTCGAACGTTGTTGTGAACACGATTACGTCATCAAGATATGCTAGGCAAACATCCCAGCCTACTCCAGCAAGCATGAGTTGTACCAAGCGTTGGAATGTGGCCGGTGAGTTGGAAAGTCCGAAAGGAAGAACTTTGAACTGATACAACCCATCTGGAGTACAAATGCAGTCTTAGGACGATCGGAAGGATGAACTGGTACTTGCCAATAAGCGCTCTTCATGTCAAGGGTGGAGAAGTAGGCAGCTCCAGCAAGCGCGTCTAAAGTATCATCGATTCTCGGTAGCGGATGGGCATCAGGCACAGTGACGGAGTTTAACTTCCGGTAATCAACACAGAAACGCGGGGTTCCATCTTTCTTGGTAACCATGACGACCGGAGATGCCCAGGGACTGGAACTAGGTTCGATGACATCATTTTGGAGCATGTCTGACACTTGATCACGGATTAACTGACGACGATGAACAGAGGTGCGATATGGTCGTTGTTTGATTGGTTTTGCGTCTCCCGTATCGATACGATGTTCAACGAGATGTGTACGACCTCGATCAGAAGAATCGAAGGTAAAACAGTCACGGTTACCCTCAATCAGTTTAGTGAGGCGCACTTTCTGGTCGGATGGGAGTGAAACGTCTGACAGGTCGATAACAGGTAAAGACGTTTTTGGAATACGCACCTTAGGTTTAGTCGATGGCAAAGGAATGGGGTCAGTCTCTTCAGCGATTCCGTAGTCTGAATCAGGGATTTCCGTTGTGTGGAAATGGCCAATCGAACAGTTCTGTGGTAGACGTACAGGGTGATTGTTTGTGTTCAACACCTGTACAATGGAACACCCCTGTGAAACATTAGCTACAGTCCGGGCAGCGGCTACTCCTTCATACGTCGGTCTCAATTTGTCGGGTTCGAATACACCGACGAAGTCAGGAAACATAGCGCCGTCTTTGGTGTGCAGTCTGACCGGTATGGTTGAAACAGAGTTTGCCGGGAGAACAGTGGTCTTGCACACAGTCACTTCGGATACACGTGGTGTCATTGATGCTCGTGGAAGCAGGGGAACGCTTGACTCTCCAATACGAACAGCACCCGCAGATGGTTCAATGCTAACAGCGTGAGTCTGGCAGAATGGCCAACCGAGGATAACACTACTAGTCGCTCCCTTGACTACGTAGAAAGTTTCCATTGTGGAGATAGGACCAAGCTGTACCGTAGTACTAATGAGACCTACCACGCTGATGCTTTCACCATTCACTGACTTTGCAATCCTTCCTGACTTGTCTAATGGCATGGAACGAAGAGCCGGAGTACGAAAGACGAAAGTCATCGCTGATAATGGAGATGGACGAACCGGTGTCTAGAAGAGCCTGTGTTGACGCGCCTTTAATCTTTATATGAACAGTCGGAGAACATTCTGTCGGGGAATCTTGAGGTGTAGCTGGCTGTCGGCGCCCACAACCAGCTAAAGCCCGTTTCCCGAAGGGGTAGGACAAGCCGCCTCAAAATGTCCATAGCCATGGCATCTGTAGCATTGCGCGTCGGCGGGGACAGATCGGCGTCGTCGTTGCTGACTGGTCGACGATGGCTCACGGCGACGATCAGCGGGAGAACTGTTGGACACTGGTGGAGGTCTTGAACGTTGGTTGCTAGAACGGTTGACGGCTTGATTCTTGAGAAGATCCACGACTTCTGCCAGCTGCGTCGCCAGGGAGGCGACAGTAGTAGCCAGGTCACGATCCGACGGCCCGACGGACACTCGTGCGGCTGAAGGGTACGCTTGTGCATCCCGGGCGGCAGATGTCCGCACCTCCTCACACAGGGTAGCTTGACGGACAGCAGCGTCGACGTCGGCCGGCCCGAAACCCATAACTCGGTATTTCAGGTCAGGGTCCAACCCGGCGAGGAAACGGTCAAGCGCCACTCCTGCCCGGGCGGCGTCGTTATATGTCGGATAAGCCAGCCGTACCAACCTTCGAATCTCGGCAGCGTAGACCGGCAGACTTTCACCAGGATGTCGGGGACGGGCGTTGGCCGCTCGCCGAAACTCTTCCAAAAATACAGGACGTCCGAACGGTCCCGCCATCGCCTGTCGTATGAGGGTCAGGTTAGCCTTCGTCGCTACCGGGAGCTCTGAGTAGAATCCAAACGCTGGGCCAGTAAGGAAAGTCGGAAAGCTCCGCAGCTGGGCGGCGTCGTCCAATTCCTGGGCTGCGGCCCACACGTCAAATTGTTGCGACCATAAATGGAAATCGGACTCCCCATCAAAGGAAGGTGGAAGCTTACTACGGTGCTCAGCCATTTCGACGTAAAATACGCGGTGATTCCCGCAGGAAAAACACCGCTGCCACCAAAATGTAAAGATAGACAACCAGTCACGGTGAACGCTCAAACTCAACTGGTTTATTCAATCTCAACCGGCCGGTTCTAGAGCCCCTTCCCTCGAACGGTACCGGTATAGATCACCTGTTCGAACACGACGCTGGCACGTGCGCTGGCACGTGTTCGAACAGGTGACCGCGACTCCGCCCAAGGGAGGGGATAGAACCGGCGATAATACAATGCTTAATAAAACTAACAATACACATTGTTACACATGCATATAATTTTTTTCTCGTTTGGAATATTTAATTTATCACCAATGCACAAAAGATTAATCCAAGCACATACTGATTTTGATTGAAAATACCTTCTTTTGGCCTGTGTTCTCTCTTGATTTAACTTTACATAAGGACTTGATTGGTCTGGCGAAATTTGTAAACAAAATTTTTCGCTGGGCCCTCACCAAGGACAACAAAATATACAATCCCCTCAACTTTTTTTATTGCTTGGTTTAGTTAATGAGTGAAAACTTTCCTTACGTATTGTATATCTAAATAGCTTAACGATACAAGTATCTTCCTTTATATATGTGCATCGTAGTATACAGTATGTAGATTGCATGGTAGGATATGGAAATTATATTTTAACTATTTGATAGCTTTGGGTGCTCAGACATTTGTAAATGTACTGTATTCCATTTTTTCAAGTTCTTTCATTTTGAAAAGTGCTCTTTTTTTCAAATACCATCTCTGAATGCTTTTTACAATAAACTCCAAGTTGCAACATCTTTCTGCATATGATTCAGCCCATGATCTTTGTCTAGACTTTCATTATCATTTTAAACAAAACTTAATAAGGCCACACCAATTTAATTTCTTGGTTAACATATTTTTGTAGAAATATAATGGAGCGGGCGGGCGAAAAATGAATAAAAATAAAAACAGGCCTAGGCATCCTATTATGGCCCCAAAATGGTACGATAGGAGCCATGAAGTCAACACACCAGGCTGGTTCAAAATTTAAACAATGAATTTTGAACTTTTAATGATACCATTGCATTGACAGATGGAATAACTGTAACAACTAGGAAGAAAAGGACTGTTTTCAACTGTTCAGGGCAAAATATGAGCATTTTGCAGTTGATTCTGAATTTTATTTTTATTTGCAAATCAGAAAATCCGTTAACCAAGAAATTAAATTGGTGTGGCCTAATACTGCTAAACTGAAGACCAACATGAAAACTGTACTTGGTACACACAGTTGCAAGGAATGTATTCAGATATTGTGCTCTTTGAAAATGCCGACTGTAAAATGACAGACTGAAATTTTGTTAGCGATTTTTATGTAGATTGTGGCAACTTTGTGAAAATTTCAGTACAACTCTAGGAATTTTGTTAAAGACGTGTGTCCACTGTAGTATTGGGCTAATTCAATCAATGCTACACCAATCAAAAATAGCCTGATTCTAACAATACCCGTCATTGGTTCACCCTGTGTCAGTGTAGCCCAGTTTTACACACACTCCACTACTCAAGAAGGGGCTATATTTGTGTTTCCTGTTGGCTGGTTTCCAATCGTTGAATCCTGGTTATCCCGGCTTTCCAAAATTGAAGACAGCAGTTGACTTGGAGTAACCCTCACCAACAAAGGTTAACCCATCGGAGACATTAACTCTGATATCATCATCCTTGTCCTTGGTTAATTTAATTACCTGTATCCCAGCTGCCAGCCAATGACGGCTCACATTAGAACTGCGAGCAGGCTGGGGATGGTTGTAAGGGGTGTTCTGATTGGCGGCCCCTGGAAAGTGCCAGACAATCTTGGGAAAGGGATTGCAGTGAGTGAGCATGTCAGCTACTTGTTGTATGGACAGAAATAGGTATGAAAAATTCTGTATGAATCATAGATACGCAGGGGATAAAAATGCTCTTATTTTCTACAATCTTTTTGCTATTGGGTTAGAAATCTGTGAAAATTTGGTCCCAGCTTTTGGCATAAGATTGGGAGATGTAAAATTTTCAGCCTATGAAATGTTGAGGTGTGAATTGTAAGGAAGATCGGACCATACCAGCCTTAATGCCTTCTGGGTTCAACGAACTTGACGTTCAAGAGTGTAGACATCGCTTGTGCTGTCACTGTCAAAGGTAAAGTCCACGGTAAGGTTCCAGATCCTTTACAATATGTTTCAAAAATCCTCTGAATATGAATGATGTATATTTTAAACGTAAACAAGCTGAGGCATTACTGTTGTTGTTGTCATCTCTTTATCATATTTTTTTTTTTGGTACATTTATTGCAGGAAAACACTTTGAGATCTGTGATTTTGACAAAGTAACATTTTTACAGCTAAAAGATTTTTTCAATCCAAACACTAGAAAATTGCCATTCATGCATACATGCAGTTATTTTTTCCTCATCCTTGCTGAGTCTGATATTGATAATTTTATGAAATAATGTAATAGTCTGGATATTTGTAAACCCATGGTAAGCAAGAATATTACCCTTTTCAACATAGCCAGTTGTATACAATAAGCCTATGTCTGGTTATATTTCTCTAAGTTGCTACATGTAATACTAATAGTTCTATGTATACATGCATGTTACATAAGGTCATTTTAGACTGGCTGACAGAGACATACTGTATTCTAATAATATCGCTAAAAACGTGTCCCCTGGAGACAACTGGAAGAAACTGGTATAAACCGAATCTCAGCAAATATAGAATCTTATTTTTGGATTCACTTTCTTCAGTTATTGAAGCCAATTTTTAACAATAACTATTCCCAGTGTACCGAGATATATTTTTCTGAGTCTGCATTTGAATACTGATTACATGTTTCATGTATGAACATACACATAAAGCAAAACTGTACAAGGTACAAATAAGGCAAACGTTGGATTCGCGTAGATGCTTACAATAGATCGATGCTATGAGTTCGTGGAATATGACAAGACATGACAAGGCAAGGGTCAGGCCTAGGGAAAAAAATATTGTGCTTTCCTGTAACTGTTTTCCAGCCAATCCTAGAAAAAACTGCCAAAAGTTTTCGACCATGCTGTAAATCGCACAAAATGAGCGAATATATGGCGTATGTTGCAAAAAATTATTGGAAAATGATCCTAATGTCATACAATGCCGAAATCAATTCAGGAATAGAAGAAAATGTGAAGAAATGAAAATGAAGAGTCTATTATATTATTTGCCATACCGATATACTCTGTGTGTTTAGCCATTTGTTCAACCTTTATGACCACGTAGATTTCATAATGAAAGCAACTTTTTTTTTTGCCAAACTTTTTTTTATTCGCACGCTCGCATCAGTTTTGGGGTTCACAGAGGATGTCATCCATATAATCAAATCAACATGGCCTTATGTAGAAGTGTAGAAGGCACACCCCCTCACTGTGGGGGTGGGGTTAGAAATGTCCACACTAAGTACAGAAACATCAGAATCCATTTAGAAGGACGCTATCCAGTGCATTTCGATACACATTTTGGCACTGCTGCAAATGTACTAAAGGTGATGCTATTTAACCAGTGTTTGAAGGAAAGGTTGCCCAGTGCCCTTAGGGCAACCTGATTTTCTTTGAAGTCACGACAAGTTGTCTTCTTGGCAACCTCAGAGTTTGTCACATCGTCTGAAAGTCTTCAATGTTTCCAAGCATTTTGTCATCACGTTTGAAAATCAGAGTGTTTATAGTATAGTCTAGAACAAGTATATCTAGTGTATATATGAAATGATTAATTGTAATACCAGTACTAATAAGATAGATTACTCTCATAATACCACACTAGTAATATGCTGCACTCAAGTCCAATGTTAAGTACCATGTATTGCATATTGTTACTCTCCATTGAATTGTTACTTGTTTTAAGGTGGGTTTGTGTGGGGGTTTGTCCAGACAGTGTAGGTTGACAGCACGTGCGTGGGGGAAGATTGACAGGCAAAATGACGCTGGAAATCAAGGGTCTCAGAATCTGGCCAGGAGCCAGCAGGAATCAGAGGTCAACATGGGGAAATTCAGGAAGCCAACTTTTCAGTACTTCTAGGAACCCCAGATGTCTGAAATCTCTGATTTCTCGTTTCCACCCCCCCCCCC